CTGAGTATACAGTGTTTATGAATTGCGTCTGTGTAAGGGCAAAACCTGTGATTAAAATGTACATATTCTGATGTGCTGTGATGGTTTGGCCATTTAACCAGTACTGTGAAAACAGGATGTCGACAGTTATTTTATATAATCCCTTTTCCCCTACAGGCCAATAAGTATAAAATGAGTGGACTGGCTAACAGGTCCAAGAAGAAAAGCAAGGCCAAGAGCAGTGGACAAGGAGACCAAGCAAGACCTAAGTAAGGAGTCCAGTTTTGTCTTGCAATCATAAATAAGTTCCCAGAGCTTTCGGTTTGGAACTCGGTCACTCATGAATCGTGTTCAGACTAATCCAAGGACATGCTGTTGTGACAGCACAAAACTTACTTGCATGCACGTGTTGTCCACTTTCTTAAACTCAAGATGCCGTGTTTTGACAAGTTCCATCACCTTCTCCACCCCAAGTGGGACCAAAAGAGGGCGCAATTTTTCTAGTAGCACTTCGTTGGGTCATGAGTGATTATAAAATGCACGTGTTATCATGTTCCTGCCAACAAGATCGCATGTAATTGAACACTCCTTACTGATAATGCTCATAATCTTGTCAACTGACGAGGGGGTGCTTCTGCTCAAGGCAGATTCATTGCCGAGACATCAAATCTTTCCAACCTGCAAGCATGTGAGTTACCCCTTGCAGTAGTGGTTTTCAACTTGGGTCTACAGCATTTACTTTTTTTTTACTACTTGGGGTCAAATTTCTTGATTAATAAGAACCTGTGCTAGTGTGCTGTAACCTGTATACCTGTCAAAGCCTCTGGCTAGCTGCTATAAACACTTCCTGTAGATGCCTGCATTACTCTTAGCCACAGCCAAGACTTTGGGATGCAACTGCACTACTGTGCATTTGTGACTGTACCAGCCACAGTGTAGTCGTTTGCTCTTTGTAGAGACCTGGCTGCCTCTGCTTCCCTCCGTGTAACTCTATGTGCAGTGGGCATGGCTGAAACTGAAGTGACATAACACGAACTGTATAGAAATCACTGTGCCAATCACTGTACTGGTTTGATCTCTTAGCCATTCTGAAACTTTGTCTGTCAGGTCAGAGCCAAGCTCTGAGCAAAGGAGGAACTCCTCCCCATTGAGTCAAGCGCCATCCAGTAGCGCCCCTCCTGGTGTCAAGCCAAGATGTGAGAGGGTGTACGACGTTGAGCAAGAACCTACGGCAAGGAAACAGCTGGAAAACCACCTGCCATTGAAGAAAACTAGGGCTGTGTCACGAGAAGAACAAGTGGGTCAACTTCTTTCTTTTTATAGGGACAAGGTTTATTGGACCTTCTGATAGCTTGGGGAGGATGGATGACATGGAATCCACACTCCCCCCCCCCAGAGCCCCCAATATGAGCTGCCTCATTCCAAATCTCTTAAAAACGTGAAGTACAGGGAAGAAATGTGTTATGAGTAGAGCTTTTTTTAACCCAGTCAGACAAAGTATTTTGTTAGGATGGTCATTTGTAGTTCACATTTTCCCACGAGTCCATGCATTGATCATAGTCACAGGGAAAAATTAACACTTTGACCTACCTATCTTGGAAAAATGGACTTTTGTGAGAAAAGTGTGGTAAAAAAGCATTAGTATGACATCTGAGAACATGTGGAAGGAGGGGGGGAGATTCTGTCATTATAACTCTCTATGTCATCTCCCTGACACACTCAAAATGAGTGTCCCACATTGTCATTTGTAGAGAGAGAAATGAGTAGACTATAAGAATGGTGTAAATTTGACAAGCATTACCAACTTTTTTTCTTTTGATCTTGTTTGCACCAGTTACATAGTGCCAGGCAGTACCGGATAGGTCCGGGTATGGTCCTTACGAAGGGCAGAAGCAAGGTAGCAGTGACTATCAACACAGGGGAAGAAGAGGAAGGACCGAGGACCATACCAAGGATGCCACACCAGGGGTGAGGACTAAGTACTTGACAGTCTGAGGACTAATATTTACTGACACAAGTGAAAATAGTCGACCTTTAGTCGCGAAAAGAAAGATAGCAAAAAATAGCAAATGTCATGTGGCTGCCTCGGCCAATCAAGATACAGAGTCTGTTGGTGAGGTGTTATGAAAATATCTGTACGTGATCCAGTGGTGGATAAGCAGCATAGGGCGCCAAGAGGTTTGGGTTTTCTACAGGAGTGCACTGAAGTGCACTTCTTCTTTAATTAAGTACCCATTTTGGTATCATGACAGTTGGGAACCTGCAGGAATTCTTACTTCTTTTGAAAGTCTAAAAATACTAAAAAGTTAAGCTGTTACCATGCAATTCCCAATTTTTTGGGGGGGGGGGGGTTTCATTTATGCAGTAAAACATTGTGTATTTCGGAAGTAATTGTAGTTTTCCAGGGCATTTGCAGCCCAGTGGAATCAGATTGTTTTCACTTGCAAATCTTGACTGTCAAGAATTGCCTCTATTATTTCAAAACTTCTGTAAAATGGCTGAGTTCCCCAATGGTGTGAAGTGTTGCGTGTGTATAATTTACTGTGATACTATTTTGTTTGTTTTTCTTTATTTCTTTACAGGCCGTTTGTTGATCCAGAGAGGTAGGAAGAAATTCTCGATCCTTCTTAGAAATCAACCTTTTTTTTTTTTCATTCTGAAATCTGCAGTTTTTCTGTCTGAACGTATCTGTTAGAAAGGTGATTTTTTGGGGGGGAACAATTTCATTTTGCTTTCCAAAGCTCTTATAAAGCCCTAGAATTTAGCCTCAGCCCCCAGAAAGGCTGCAAAAAGGTTATGTAAAAAAAAATCCCAAATGTTTAATCCTCCAGAAAATCCCCCCCCCACCCACTGAAAATTTGGTCTTAGATCCACCTATGCACTGATATGATGATTGTTTGTAAAACACAGTCACATGAATCTCGCACTCATTCATTCAATATATTCACTCATTGTGTGGTTTCAACACCCATTCAGATCATACTATTAGGTTTGGCCAACCACATGCCAAAACTGGAACACATTTAATTTCAAACTGTTTGGAAGAATCCGGTGACCATGGTAACCCTGTCACTGGTCATTTGCCGTGGCCCATGCCAGTGGTAGAAAGCTGTGTGATAACTATTGTACTTGGCCACTGTTCAGTGACATTCGCTTTGTACAAATCTTACACGGTGCTTTCTGCCTGTTTGAGGAGGCCATGGGAAATGTCTAGAGAGATGTCGCTGGATTCATCTATTGGAGGAAATTAATTCCTTGTACCAGCCAACTTGAATTACATTTGATTCAAACCCCACCCAAAAAACATCATGTGGCGATAATCATGTTTGATAACCTCTTAGTGATCTTGCATTGCCCTCTTTGTTGGTGAGGCTGTTTTTTGATTGTGAAATTTGGGATTGATCGCAGGGTCAGAGTCAAACTCAATGTCAAAACTGTTTGGAGTTGCCCCAGCCTACACACCAACAATATATGTGTACATTCAAGGCATAAAGTGTGAGCTTAGTCACCAAGGAATACAGTGCACTGCATGTACATGTACACAGTTTGTATTCAGTTTACACTTGTTTTGTTGGAAACCATGTTGTCACTATTGATTAGTTAAAATGCTCTGTTTTTTGTGTTTTGTTTTGATTCTTTCTTCCACTTCAAGTTCACTACAGCGATCCACACATTGTTGACACATTTTTGAAAATAGCTTGTATAAAAAAGAACTACATTTTGTAGCTCAAAAATGTATATTTTGTAGCTCAAATTCTATTTTTTTAAACAAAATGTTTTGTTCAACACTTTGTATTGGGTGTTGAGCACTAGAAACAAAAACAAAATAAATTTTGAAAAAGAAAAAAACAGACTTCTAGATTTGTAAAAAAAACTGATTGTTGAAGAAAATAATTGGCACCCGTAAATAGTGCATAAAATTATTTAGGTAAAAGAGGAATTTGACAGCTGGTTTGGCAAAAGAGTTGGAAGGCTTCGGAAATTTTGAACTTGAAGGTAAAATAGCAGTTCCATGACCTGTCTATTTGTGCATGCTTTTTTCCTTTAAAATTAATCCAACATTTCTGTCAAAGTAAAATGGACTCTGACATAAAAAAAATTGACAAAAGTGTCAGCCCTACACTCCTCTTGAACATTTCCATGTTCAGCTGCAGTTTCTTCTAATGCACAAGTTTATTGGCAATTTCTCTTCTGGAACTTTTTTATTTTGCACATTTTTGCTTTAAGTTATCACAGTCTTTACGGCAAGACTGTGGTAATCTCTTTGACTTTGATCTCGAGAGACTTGTAAATTTGTATCTGTTCCATAAGTGCCTGTGGAGTGTGCCCCTTGGCCAACATATGACAGAGTGTCCTGACTGGTTATGGCCGATGGACCAAAACTCTACCACGTGGAATTTAATTAAAAGCTCGTTCCAGATGCACCCCCAATGTCCAACATTTTCAAATTTGGCAAATGATCTTTGTCTGGAAGGCACAGCCTCAAGCAGCACATGATATTGGCTATGGCTGAAAAAGTGCACATGTCTATGGGAACTGGCAGCAGCCAGTAGCCAGTGGGTAGGTTTACATGTATGTATTCCCTGCTGCAAACACAACTCTGATACAGTTTTGCATTAGAAAGTGTCACTCTGACAAGTACCTTGGCCATCAGAGCACCATTGCGGCACGGAGCAGTGTTAGCTATAAATGGAATGCTGTTTTACCTTCAGTCCACATGCACACTCCCAGTCTACATGCACTCTAACCACTGCTGATATGATTTCTCATTGCAAACAAATGGAAAACTTACAGAACTTGCTAGAACTTTTACCATCTTCATAATGTTCAATAATTTCAGCTGTGTTCGTATTCTCAGAATGATTTTTTACTTTAAATGATAAAATGATTGACCAATGAAATTGATGCTTTTCATCAATGTTCTGTATTTTGCAGAAATTAATTTCCCTTGCCCGTTAAAACTTAGAGCAGTTTTGGTTTCAAGAGTCCATTTTATTTTTCATTGGTAACTGGAAACTGACATTTATTTTTAAAATTCACTCTTTGGGCCGGAGTTGAATTATCACTCGTTTTTACCAGCTCCTTCCAGTTAATAACAGCTCTCATACTCATGCAAGCCTTTTGAGCTAACCAGTATCCTACAAGTCATATCTTTGGTACCTGCATTTATTTTTGTAATTGACTGGGTATGAATCTTTTTTTAAAATCACTTGCCCAAAACTGAATCAACTTTTTTCATAATATATCCATTTTTATTTACGTTTCCGTGTTTAAGCATAATAAATTCATATTGAACATCTCAATGCATGTTGAACATCTCCAGAAAAGTCTTGAGTGCCAGGAACAGCATGAAATCAATCCATACACTGTAACAGCTGCAGCAATGTCATCGTTGGAAACTGATATGTCAAGAAAGTGCTACAAGATAAACACAAATGACACTCGGGCCGTGTCCAAAACGGGCTTCCAGAGCTACGGCTAGGTCTATTGTCTACACATCTCCAGGCATTTCCAATGGAGTGAAGACCTAGACCTAGCTCTAGACAAGCGATTCGGATGCAGCCTTAGTAACTGAAGCAGGCACGGCTGAACAATAGATTTAAAGGTGGAAATAAGCCCCCCTCACAAACTTATCAGTCTGGCCTCTTGAAATTTAGCGTACTCCCTTTCCTGTGAACTTTTTCAGCCATAGGAACTCATCGAATTTCTAGATTTCTCAAAGTGTGACAAAATTAAATTCTCAAATATCAGGAAATGTTGAAAAAAAAAATGTTGGTAGATCACCAGTCCACAGATCTGCAAATGGAAAGGATCCATTCTGCACGCACATGTACTCCTGCTTTTGTCTGTTCTAGCTTTGAAACAACCATCCAACAGATTTTCCACATGAATCACCCTTTTAGCCCTTGACATCATAATTCCATGTACATAGGTTCCTATTATTAACAATAATGAGAACCGTTTTTTATGCTCTGTTGCTCAGTTTTTGGATAAGAATCGTTGTGTTGATTTAATGTTCACCTTACTGTGTACATCTTTATGCATTTCCTCTCTGTATTCTTTACTAATCATAAAATGTGTCAAGATTGTATATGATGCTTCTAACAGTATGGTTTCTCTCTTTTTTGTCTCATGGTTTCACTTTTGCTGTGTGTCTTCTTGGTGTTGGGACTACTGCACTGGAATTCTACTAATTCTGTCAACTATTGCCATGGCAACGATGCACTCCTTAAAAAATTGTCCAAATTCACTTTCATCAATTGCCTGTTAACTCCTGTGGGTTTTTTAAATTTCTGGGGTGGTGCGCTGTTATACTTGTCGTATTCTACATAAAAAGTGAGAATTTGTATCACTTGTTCCGGCAAGAAAATCCTGGTGCTCAGTCAAAACTGCAAAAGCTCCTTCATCAGAGCTTAATGTCCGGAGGCGTAGACCTATTAAGTCTTTTCCCTGAAGATGGCAATGAAACTAATGTCCCGCCAGGTTATAGGGCGAGAACCCCTAGACCAAACACAAGGGCATCATCTACTGCAATGAGCATACAGTAAGTGCATCTGTCGGTGGCTTGGATTCTATGAACTTACTTCCAAGTTACTTATTTTCAGTGCTGCTGTATCTTGTCTGAGTGTAATTTTGTCTAATTGTCGACACTAATAATGTGTTGTAACCCGAGTCCTGAGGCAGAAAATATGTTCAAAGTATGCATTTCGTGATCTGAATTTCACAAGTGTACAAGGAGTGGTCATGTCTCCAAAAAGGAATGTTTCTGTACAAATAATCCCCTGCAAAAATGCATTTTTAAGCAGACAACAAACTTCTACATTATTTTATGGGTTTTAATTTCATATAGGTGTACTTGCAGTGTTGTGGGTTAGTCTTCACAAGTCAAAGTCAATCGCAAGCCATCCACTCTTAAGTCATGAGCTGATGTTGATTTATGATTTGATGTAGAATTAACTCATGATTCTACCTGCGATGGATAGGCTTTACTCCATTTCTGTGCATTTAAAGATAATTCTGAGAAAATCTCAGTACATGTGTAGGTGTTGCGAAGATGCTCATTGGTGGCTTTATTTGCAAGTTTATGGGTAGAAAATGTTGAAACTTTCGATTACAATGGCAAGAATTTTTCACCTACGTGTACATAAAAGAGTAAGGAACTTTGGGCAGTTGTGGATATTCAGAACTTAACTGTCATCCCTTTTTTTTTTTTTAAAAACCTACATCATGGGTAGTGAATTTTTCTCCCCAACCCTCCCAATCAGTGTCTTGGCTTATTTTGCTCCCTGGTTCACAGAGAGGCTCTTATTGCACAGTTGCAGCAGCAGGTGTCTGATTTGACACTCTTCTTGGAGGAAGAGAGACTCAACCACAAGGCAACTAAAGATAAGGTAAACAGACCAGCCAAAGCAGAAGTGTGATCAGAATAATTGATCACAGTTAATCACAACTTCCAACCACGAATGAAGTCGCAAGATACTCCCACGAACAATGGCAAAGCCATTGCTGTGTCATTTATGTCCCATGGATGCTACTTTTGACCAACGGCAGAGAGCTAACAGTGGGGCACATGCCCTCCCCCCCTCCAGGACTCCCTGCTCCTTGAATGCGTTTATTTGAAATTTTAAAATTTACACAACCTACTACGGGCTGTTGTTCATTGACTGAGCCCCCCCCCAAAAAAATGCGCTGTCCCCTCAGTAGTTAGAATAAGAATGAACTTATACATGCTTGAATGACATTGCTACAATATGTATCTGTAGTCATTCTTCGCAACATACTCCCAACAACCTGGGGCCAATTTCATAGAGCTGCTTAAGCACAAAATTTGCTTAAGCGCAAAAAACCTTGCTTAAAAAACAAAGGTTACCAGCTCAAAATCCATGTGATTGTCATGCGAACCAAAAGACAGGTGAATACCAGTCCAAAACAATATATATCACATGGAGTTTTGGCTGGTAACTTGCTTTGTCAAGCAAGGATTTTTCACGTTTAAGCAAATTTTGTGCTTAAGCAGCTCTATGAAATTGGCCCCTGCAGCTGTAAGAGAACATGTTTAGAGTTGCTGCCCAAAGTCAACACACAGACAGAGGTTTGCAGCAAGTTAAGGACATTGGAGATGGAATCAACCGGGTGGTTTTTCTCAATGATTTGAATGCAGTAAGAGAATGGCAAATAGCCTCCAGGTAATAATTGGTTCCTGTCCATTGCATCGCAGTTGGCAGGGACTCTGAAGGAGAAGATTCAAGATGTTGAGAGGAAGCACATGGAGGAATTGAGAGCCTTGCAACAGGATCAAGACGAGCAGCTAGACCTGATGAAACAGCTACACAGCAAGGAACTGGAACACCACAAGTCGGCCAGCAATGCTGTACTAGGTGTGCTGATAAGGCTTGGGTTATAAGCTTGAATTATTTCAGGGAGATGATTAACATATCTGCCTTGAGCAGAAGCACCTCGTCATAGGTTTTCAAGAGCCATATTGGTTGGGAGCGTGTTGCTACCATGACGCAGGCATTTTATAGTCATTTGTGAACCAGTGAAGCTCAGTTCTGACCAAAGGAGCTTCCATTGTTAAGAAAATTGCGCCCTCTCTTGGTCCAGCTCGAGGCTCATAGAGACAATTCACAGTACCACTCAAGTGTCGCTGGAGGGCTCAAATCAAATGGAAGCATACATGTTATTCTTGGAAAATACTCCTTTGCTTAGCATTTGTGCACAGAAGTCATACCTTGTCCATGCTTTCACATTCACAACATCGCTTTAGATTATCCACACACTTGATGTCCAACTTCTTTGAAAGACTGTAGCTGGTAAAGCGTTGCAGAGTTGCCAATGTGGACCCTTGAGCCAAAAATATACTTGTTTGGGGAACAAACATTGGGGGCCCACCATATCCATTTATTGTGAATTGTTCTTGTTGAAATTTTTCAAGAGCTATTTTCTTTGGGTGTGGAAGTCAACACCCCCAGAGACCAAAGGCCTTGAGCAGTGAACCGAATTAATTTTAGATATTATTTGAGGAAAGAACATTTGGAATTTTCTGACAGTCTCCTGACGACGGACTGAGCATGCAGTCCGAAACGTTGAGTATACTCCTGGTTCTTTTCAGAACCAAGCATACTCATAAGAGAGATATATTCCTTTGCATGGTGCTACCGCATGCCTTTCCACCTATTGTAGTCTTTCACCATGAATAGCTTGAAATTCCATTTGGAATTTTATCAGATAAATGCCAACGAGTTTAAAGAATGGAAATATCCAATGCGGCTGCTTTGTCAGATTGTTGCACTTCATTTGCACTTGTTAATAATAGTTGTCAAAACGCAGAGACCTTCAGGAAATTGTCTAATCTATAGACCGACTCCAACAGCAGCACTAAATGTAACTTGGAGTTTGTCAACCAATGTAAATATTGAAGGCCACACATTTGGTCTGGGATTGTTGGCCTCGGGTAATGGAGAAGATGTAGAGAAAAGGGGCATCTGGTGCCTTAAAGCTGGGTAATACTTCTTGCAAATGGGAAAGTGAAGCTAATTTAACAGCTCAAAACGTTTGTTGTGAACTTGGCTCAAGTTGAAATGTAGTCAATATTGGCAAATTTTCTGCACAAATCTGTTATCTGACATCACAGTTTGGCACTCATGATTGCTTTCGCACTAAGCATGAACAGGCCATAAGTTGGTTCTTCGAATGCCTTGTTCCGATGCAAAGCCCTTGATCACAGTGCACCTTTAATGCGACATCTGTCGCCTTCTTTACATTAGCACGGATGAAAGGTGAGCTGGAGTTTTTGCAGGGAGCCTTTGAGGCTTACAAGGGCACCTTGGTACAGGACATGGAGGAGAAATGGGCCAAGAAGGAGAGCGACATGAAGATACGATTTCAAGAAGACATGGATAAGGCTTTGTATGAGCAGAGTGAGTACTATTCAGTATTCCATCTGTTCAGTTTTTCATTTGATCAAGTATTCAGTGTTTACTGGAAGAATTTTTGGTCAATAAATTACAGCTACATGTAGTTGAAATGATGCACAAAAAATACATGTTATAATTGTTATACTTGTTATAATAACTTTAAATTTTTTTAATTACTGTCATTGGTTGAGAGAAATCATATAATATTTTTAGCAAATATCAAAAGAAAAATACTACCACAAAATAAAAATGTTAACTGTCAGTCTCTCTCTCTCTCTCTCTCTCTCTCTCTCTCTCTCTCTCTCTCTCTCTCTCTCTCTTTTTCCTTTTTTTTTTCAAATGTTTTTTCAAATGTTGAAAAGAGTGTTCAAATATTCGGCCATCTTTCAAATAACTTGCTTGACAGAGATACATTACGTGGGTGAATAAAGATATTGATGCAGCTTGCTGATTAGCCTTTAGCTTTGCCAGTGAAAACAATGATGTCCGCTTTTGGAAGTTGAAATGAAACAGTAAAAGAACACAAATGTCCTTACCATCCACAGGGACTGAGTTGTTAGAAGAGGCCACTAGAGATAAGAAAGCCATCAGTCGGGAATTCCAGCGACAAATCCAGATTCTCACGAGGGAACACAAGAAGGAAATAGAGGTAGGCAGATTGGCTTTGCACTATTGAAAGTGGTGAGGAAAGTGGTGGTGAGTGGTGAGGTGTATGAAGAAATCAGGTCAAAGTAGGAGATTGATAAGATGACTTAGGGTACAAATGTCAGGTATGATTCATTTGAGGTAAAAGTGATCAGCACCATAATATGCAGTGGGTTAATTCATCATTGCTGCCTGAAATCATGTTCATTATGTAATGACTCATTTTTGAAAATGGCAAATTTAAAGGAGGTACAGAAAGAAAAGTGTGTTACATCACTGATTCGTGTACTGAGCAAAATACACCTTAGAATCAGTCACAAGATATCTTGTTTTGTTGGTATCCCACTTGTGTGAACAAGAAAATTGCAGCGACTAGAAAATTTGTGTGAGTGTTAGCTCTCTGTTGTTAGATTGTAATGCCAAGAATCGATGAGTGCAGCATGGAAAAGTGAGGATTTTATTTGCGAGTGCCCGGGTTTAGTCTGCAGATTGGGATTGTCGGGAAACAGTGATCATCATGTGTCCAATTTGGGTTTGGGGAGTTTTTTGCTAGAAGTGGGCTTTGTGTGAGATCAAGACGGAGCTCCTTGCTACTTTAGTTGCAGTGTTCCATAAGATTGACACACCGTAGCTCTACACTGGTTAGCATGTCTTAATGCACTGAACATGCTAATGGTTTCATCTGCAAATGCAGAACGAATCCCATTGGGACTTTATGTGATTGCTTGGTGCATGACAGCAGCAATGTCCAAGTATCAGCCTAGCTTCCCTCGTTTTTTAAAATTTTCATTTATTTATTTATTTCGGTTTAAAAACGATATCAATTCAGTGAGTCGTAGGACTCATAATGATTGATTTACAAATATTAAAACCATTAAAATTATTAATAATTAAAATTCTGCCTGGAATCATGTTTTTACTCGAAGAGTTCACTGTAGCTCTAGCTAAATCATCTGTTCCTTGTGTTTGCAGCTATGTGAAGAATTCTGCACCCAATCGGTGTGTTTCATCGGTTTTATTCTTATTGAAAGAGATTATTTATTTTCTGTCTTGGACAGAACATGATGAACCGTTTCTCTAGTACCTCTACGGACGTGGCCAACTTGAAGCGAGCCCTGGAGCAGCTCAAGAGGGTTCAGACACAGCTGGATGAGAAGACAGAGCAACTGGCAGTGGCTCAGGACAGCCTGAAATCCAACCAGGAGGAGGTGCAGCAACTGGTAAGGGGAAGGGGTTTCTTTCACAACTTTTGCTTCGTCTTCAGCTTCTTGGATGTTGGAGGTAAAATCGTCCAGCTTAACGCAGATCTTTTTTCTGCTATAGAAGCATCTCAACCCCATATATGAGGGAGGAGTGCACAGTTGTTTTCACTTGGAAGCAGGAGTAAATGTTTGAAACTGTGCAACTCAAGATCTAGGTGGAGATGGAGTCAGAGCTGAGATTTGGAAAAGGGCCTCAGTCAAAGTTAGCTTATAAAAGTGTCTCAATTTCCTTAATCTCATATATTGCACATCAGTATTGAGTCATTTTAAAGGAAGGAAAATCCACTTTAATATATCTGGATGCCCCTTCTGTAAATATTCTTCACTTATTATTTATAATGCATTGTTAGAATGGCATGGCTTGATGTATTTAACAATACACAGAGAAATTCGTAAATTTGGGTCTAAGTCGCAAGCAAAATGGCTTGTTAAAATGGTGTTGTTGCATTGAAAGTACTTTGTCAGCACGCCAGTTTGTCATGACAACAGGTTGGAGTTAAGTGACTTTTCATAGATTGGAGTTCTATAGCTATTTGGCACACTTTGTGTTGTTTCTGACAGAAAGCCCAGCTGGTCACCTACAGGGAATCATTCCAGGACAAAGTGGACGAAGTGGATGACAAGTACAAGGAGCGAATACACCTGCTCATGACAGAAAATGGAGAGCTCAGGTAGGTCAGCTGTGCATGACCTGAGGATGGCTGCTGTGCAAGAATTAGATCACATCCAAAAGTTGTAGCTGAGGGCTAGCAGGAAGAGCATGTGAAGTTACTGCTAGTGGCTATGGCCACCTCTTATAGACATGTGTTATACTTACATCCACAGCCACTTCATTTGGACATGGCTTCACAGTCTTTATCAAGTAGGAAATAATGATCGTGTGTTCAGTCCGGACTCCATGTTCTCTGTATTGGCTGCAAGATGTACATTGGTTCAAGTAGGAGTTTCTGCATTACATATGTCTAATTCATTTATCTTTTTTGCCAAGCAAGGTTTTGGATGGTTGAGTTCAGCATTTTGTGGGCTGACCTAACCCCGACTTAATTCCTTTACTACCCAATATTTCTCTTAATATGTTTGTTACCTTTAAACTATAAAGCTTAGGCCGTCCTATTTGTAAAAAGAGTAAGGTGTACTTCGGGATACTTTAGTTAGACGTCATCCGCGCATTGACGAAGCATTCTTCCGCATATTGTCCATGCGTTTTTCCGATCAGTCTGGCGTTGCTAAGTATGGGAAATCTGCGGACACGACGGAGGTGTGCGCTGAAGCCTGAGGGGTTAAATGAAGCAGGCAGCCATGTGCCCTTTTGTCATCACGACAAAAAGCATCATGAATAAGCATGATTTCTCTGGACCTCATGAATACCAACAGCTGTTCTGTGGAAAAGACATTCCCCCATTTCCAGTATCCACATTTATTAAAGACGATGAGGTCATTACGTTTTTGCCAAACTTCGGTTCGGGTTGGGACGAGTACATGCATGTGCATATGTGCATGTACATGTATTGTACATATGCAATGGTCAATGCACATTGAGATATTTGGAGCTCGCTATAAACGTGCAGTAGTACTTCGGTGTGTAAATGATACATTAACCCTAACCATGCTGAACCCAACAAGGTTATACAGGATTTCAATTGTCCTTAGGGGTTAGGGTTAATTAATCCAAGTATTGAATCTCCTTTTCCATACCATATCCATGAGCAACTTTGATTTCAACAGTTTGACACGTTTTTCAAAGTTTATTTAAGCGTTACAATTCCTTGGAATATTATCATCGGAGGTGGTGTGACATTTTCCAAACGTTTTTCGCCAACCAAAATGGTTGTATGTAAACCATGCTTGACTCAACAGAACGATCAGAGGATATGTGAAAACAGCAAAAACAGTATTCTCAAATGGGAGGCTACTTTACCGGATACAAAATCAAATTGGATTTCGAGTGAATTGTGTTCTAGTTATTTTTTTCATGAGCAGATTCAAGTACCAAACTGATATCTACGAAGGACCCTTGCATCAAGTCACCATTCTTTTCCAGGATGGCGATCACGTCCAAGTTGCAATGTTGAATTTTCCATTGGTCTTTTATAAGTGCTACAATTTTGACCACACGAAAGGAAAGTTTATTTGGCGCCTGTGTGCACCAACTATTGTCGCGCACAGAAGCACTGCTACACTCCACCTGGCAAAATCGTGGTTTTTTCCCTCCGGAGTTGCCCTGATCGATTGAACACGAGCCCAACTAATATCAGGATCCAATCAAAATTTGTTTTGCATGTTCATTTATGACATCATTGGCCTAATATGGAACGTATGGGTGTGAATATTGGAGATTGGCATACTTAATGTTGGTCTGAATATGCATACGCACAATTGGATGTAGTGAGAATTTAGTACTGTTCTGCAGCTGAAATGCCGTACCTTGCGTGTTCTTGGTTGGTTATTAGTGAATTCTCACCATGTGTGTTTTACACATCACATGATCCAGGGCCATCGTACATTTACTGTACATACCTGCTATACGCACCACGTGTACTTATGATCGCACATCTGCCGAGTGTGGATGCGGAATAAAATATACTGAAACTTGTTTTCCATTTTTCGTTGTGTTGCTTTTTTATCAAGTTTTCTTCATTCCGTTTGCTACCAATACCATGCCATATCAAAGCTGAACATCCAAACGACCAGTGCATGTGTGGTTCGGTTTGGTTTGGTTCAAAAGTGCCATGTTCTATGATTTTGGGCTCGATCTGGTGGTTTGGCTGCAGCACTAGCTGTCGCTTTTGAAAGGTGGTTTAGCCGCTGGTCCCTTTTCTTTGTTCCTCCACGTGACTGGGTGTTTGTAGGCATATCTCATGCTCATAAAACTTTAAACTCGGAACAAACCCAGTAATTGTTCTGATGGCAGTGCGTTTTTATGCTGTGACTTATTTCATGATTGTCAGACAGCTTTCTGCCCTGCGCTAGGGTGTGTAAGCCTATGGGATTTGTAAGATCTCAAAAACGGGACTGTCGAATTATCTTGAAATATCTTACTGTAAAGTAAGTGCCTAATAGTGTCAGACTATCTGTGAAATCTTGCCGCCAGAAATCCTGTCAATTTCGAGAGATTTTTCCAAAGATCATCCGGACGCACAATCTTTGGAAAATTTCAACTATTTCAACCATTAACGGGAGCTGTTGCAAGAGTCTATATCAATGGGTCATGTGCAAAATGCCAACGCGCCATCAGTACGCCTAAAGACATTATTAGCTAATAAAATAGATAAATAACCAAAACTAAGGACCTAAAAGAGAATTTGGACTGGTCTAAAATCAAACTTTATTTATGAAACTTCGGAAGTTTACGTCATGTAAATTTATCATTATCTTGGTATAACCCTCAAGACCTCTCCGGAGGAGCTCAGTGGCCAGTTTTTCTCAAACAGGATCTCCACTATCGAGACATTTAGCTTTCTAATTTTCCAATCACAGTAACTCACATGACCAAAATGCGAGGATGTGTGTAGTTACCACATTTGTTGATTTATGAAGTGTTTACTATGGGCGCTGATGGTGTGTGAACAGTTTTCGACCGACGTAGGCAGGCCTACATGTGAAAAATGAAATGTACGTGGTCAATCGTGCACGTGTACATGCACAATGTACGGTATGTCTGGTCACATAGTCAGTGTGGTACTCATGCAGTCAACGCACTGCAGGATGAATCGTTGTTTGACAATTCTCAGCGTTGCATTTTTAAAGATGAAACATAAAGTTGAAGGTAAATTCGCAAACCACAATTACCATGCAAAGCGAGGAAAAGAATGTCTTTCTGAAGGGCCATAACTAGTCCGCAGAGCGACCTAATCTGTGAACTGTCCTGGCAGGCAGGAACATCCGTCCGTCGATGGTGTTTTTGCAAGACGAATTACACGAGCTGTGCTCTGAGTGTTAAAAATGAACAGTGTTTTCTCGATTTTTCTCAGAGCAGTGTACTCAAAAGCTGAAACAAGTCCCTTGAATGAAAGTCACAAACCCCCAAAACGGTCAATTTTTGCAAATTGCCGCACATGCAAATCCTGTACAGTACCTAAATGTATGCATCCATTTTGAAATTCCCACAGGGCGGCCGGCTGTCTTCAGAAAAAAAATCTTGTGGTTTTCAAGTTAGCGGCTGATCGGCATTTTGTCGTTCTGACCAAGTTGAGCGGTTGGTCAGCGGAAACCTGGCCACGTGCTAATTCAAAGGAATTTGCCCTGCCAAAGATTGCTGGCCAATACGCAGAAGGTCGCGCGTATGCATAAAGCTTGCATGTTGCATTCCGTCCGCAGATCCGCTGGGTTGCTAACGGCTCTTTTGTTTGGCAGGAATTAGCGTGCTCTCTGTGATTCCGTGAAATGTCAGCATCCTGGAACACATGGGCAATTCGGGGATGACGTCATAAGCTTGTGTGCCTGTATTTTGCTGCTTGTGTTAAGTGTGATATTGAATCCTACTTTATAATTCAACTTTTCTTCAATTGGCAATACGGCCGTTTCACACATTTGTCGACCCAATGCGCGTTTGGAAAGGGTGGACAAATTTCATGCATTATGATTGGCCAACACGTTGCAAACTCTTGGAGGTGCACTATTGTGATACGGCCGTATTGGCAATTCAGTGGCAGTGCAAGTATTACTGCTTGTCTTCTACAGGAAACGCTACTTGCAAAAGTGCGATGAACTGTTTACTGAAAAGTCTGCAACTGAAGTGAAGAGAGTTGAGAAAGTGATGAACTCCAAGGAATTAATGCAGGTGTGTATTTGCATAGCTTGAAAGAAAAAACTAAGAAAACATTAGGAACTTGGGATAAAATTGCATCTTGTCAGCTACACACTTAGAGAAAAATTGTTTATTAACCAGAGATTATGATATCCAGCTAGCTGATGTTCTTTGTCAGGTAAGAGACTAACAAACATCCTTGAACTGAACCAGACTTTGGTCTTGATTTCACTTTTGTTGTAGATTTAAGCACAGTTTAGAGAGGTTTTTCATTCGTAGTACCTGGGTATTAGAGTAAATGTGCTTGGATTCCACAAAGTGGGTATTGATTACATATAATCAGTCATTTTTGGTTGCACAATAAAGAGAATATTGAAGTGTTCGTTTTAATGTATCACCCAGTCAGGCATCTTGATGCAAACAGACATTATGTGGGTGGAAAAATTCTTGATTTACATCGTGCAAGGCTCTTCAAAGGTCTGTAACTCCAAAGTGGCTGTGGTGACTCAAGACTTATTGTCATGGTGGGACTCAAATGCATCCAAAGAGTTACTCAGGAGCACAAGTTTATGCCTAAAAACACAGGGTTAGAGCCATTGCTGAGAATGAATACAAGCCTTTTGGCATTTCCAGATGCTGGTGCATGTCAAGAATCGCTCCAATGTCAACTTGGCCTGCGCGGATCCCGCCACCGACAGTAAGCCCCGCATTCCCATCCTGCGCCCAGTCAGCGCTCCCAGCACCAAGCGAGAGGCCATGAAGGCCTTCCGGAAGGCTGGCGAGACAGAGCACCTAAGGGAAATTGCTGAGAATCGCAGGACCAGTGCCAGTACCAGGCGACCCCACACCACGATTGGTGGCCAGAGACGGAGCTTAACACCGGACTCCAGCGTGAATGGGTCCCAGGGGCCACTGTTTGTCCCTCTGGCAAGGGAGTCCTTATCTAACAGTTTTGTTTGACTGGACTACTTGCCAGTGATGTAAAGTGGTGCCTTATTTCTTAGACAGGTTACTGGCTCAAGTGTCCAGGACCTGATGCAACTGGAAATCGTGGATTTCTTTTCAGGAGATTAGGTGCAAGACTATGAGTGGTTCCACATTCCACAGTGGCACCTGATATTTGTATAGCCTCTTGATGCCATGTCATATATTGGCGCCTTAAATACAAGAAATTTATTTTATAAGTTTTATTTTTGTAAATTAGTGTAAATAGTTTGTCCAGTCAGCAGGTGATACTGACGTTTGTATATTGCATGTTTGGATATATTACACCATAGGAGGCTAGACATTCATGCAAAAGCACGGGCTAGCTGAATAACTTGGCAGGAAGTTAAACCAACAAGCCTCAACTATGCAAGCAATTTCATTTATGAATTTCTCCGAATTTGTTTGATCTATGCATGGGTTTTCTTCTTTTTTTTTTAATTTTTGGATAATTTTCGTTTTTAATTTTGTTACAGACTGCACTGTGTGCTGTGGATAGTGTTGATGGAAACAGCTGAATTGTCATAATGTGAAAAGGTTGGTTGATTTTACGCCACTGTGTGCCTCGTTAAAATTCTTTTTAAATACCTGTTTCAATCGGTACCGATTATAATTTGATGCATTTTTCCAGAAGAAACGGTGTTATTTCAGTTCCGATTTGCATTCCTTGAAAGTATAATTATGTTGAGTTATCCAATCACAGTTTTACCTTCAAGTATCGGAAGACCAACAGCAAACACCTAAGGGAGTCTTATTTCAAGAGTTCTGCCTTTTTGGCATCTTCAAACTGCACCAAGCACCAAAAACTCCCAAATTCTTCTGGTCGCACCATGAGTTGTCACTCCACTGTTTCAAATATTTGCATGTGGTTTGCATGCATCAGTGAAATAATTTGAAATTGTAGAGAGTAATTGTAATGAAATTACTATATCACGACAATCAATATGTATTTACTTTTTTAAACTTCGTATTCATGTGACATGATGACCTCACAATTTTATGATGACATATAATAAAATATGACGTGATAAAATGTGTATTTTACTAAATACATTTTCCCCAAATAGGTTAACAGCGTCTTAAAAACAGATTTCAACAAATATAATTTTCAAGAATCCACTGGCATAAATACAAAGTTCAGACTCGGTACCACAGTATTGAACAGATATCAATGAAGTTTATTTTCATTGGTGCAACAAATGTGAAATTTCACATACTGAAAGACACTTATTTTGGTTAAAAATAACAGCACAAACACATAGGTAACATAGAAGTATAAAAAATAATAAATATTAATGTGTTAGCACCTCCAGAAAGAGCAATTATTTAATTTAAAATATTAAATGACTAAATATATAGACGGACCAAAGGAACTACTGTTGTGATGTATATACTAATTGTAATTTAATTACACATACTTAAAATCTATCATTTCAAAATTCAATGCATCTAAAAGTGTAATAAGCTGTACACAAGTTGACAGTGCTATTGCCTCGCTGTTCAGCGTGATACTCAATTGTTATCACTGCATACCCTCCTGGTACTTGCTGATTTGAGGGTGAAAATAGTCCAGAGGCATCTGGTGGATATGTTTCATTTCTGCCTGCATGGTAAGATGCACTGCTGTCACTTGTAGTGACTTGTAGACCCATCCTGCCCAATTTTGGGAGTCACTCTTTAGCAAAATCTCAGCCACATTGGCTGTAGAAATGCAGTGCAAGTGTCATGTCCATCACACACACTGTTTTGACCAAATAAAAATACTTATGTCAGCATTTCCCCAAGCCGTCACATGACAGAAATTTCGAATGGCTTACCAGAAAAGTACCTCATCTCTTTAGAATTCAAATTCTTTAGAATTCCAAAATAAGGCAAAATTGGATTCCTCTGTTCCATCAATGTAAACCAAACCTTATCATTTCCTTTCATAGTACACATACAACAGAAAACTTCAAATTTACACGATTGCCTTTCGACATTTGATTATCACGGAAATATCTTAACAGCTCGCAGTAACACACGCAGTTGTATCATTAGTAACATAATAATAAAAAATAGTTAGCGTTAAAATATATTTGCTTGATAATACAACCCAAGTATTTCATTGTTCACATTACACAATATGTACAAGGAATAAGAGAGAATATAAACACTAGATAACACACTATCAACCACGAGAGAAGAGTGGTCCAATGTTTTCGAGATTTAACATACAGCTCCAACTGTCGTTTGGTTATTCAAGAAAAGCTATGATAAGAATACAGTCACTACATTTCACAGACAGGGAGAATTGTTCTTAATAAATAACATCTGTGCTGAAGCCCTTGCAGACTCTATTGCTAGTTCAGTTCCCTCTTGGAAGTTACTTTGTTAGATTGTCTAAGAACATTAACTTTGCTGGCTCAGCTTTGCACATTCCCATCTGGAATACAATCCTCAAAATAAACAGTTTTTATTTCACACTTTGTTAGTGTCAATCAAATGTTAGAAATTACTTGATTCAGATAATGCTGTATCTGACATTCACTTTTCATTACACTGGTTTCGTGGATCTGTTATACAAAACCGAACGGAACTGCTCTAACCTACGCTACATGAATAGACAAATTTGCAAGTGATCACATCTGACCTATTCAGATGGCTGCTCGGGCATGTGGATACACATTGATTTCTTACAATAAGTTGTCACTACCATGTGCAATGTTTGTGGAGCATATACTTATTCAATTTACATGTGTTATTTCTAGAGATTAGTGTACCTCACAGATCAGATATACACACATAGCACGCATAACCTTGCACTATACAGTGATTTGGAATATGTACACGTACATTCTTTCTGGTTTCACACTCAATTTTGCGGGCTTTTTTATATTTTCTTATTACACTTTGGCTGGGTAACGATTGCTAGAGGCAGAACGGCATGCAGCTCAAGAGGCTCACACATCATCAGTCTCTCGTTTGTATCTTGAAGAAGGAAAATAAAATGAATTCATTCTGAAATTATTTACGAACAATTATCCCAGCTGACCAAATGCAAGTTGATGCGAATTACATTCGTCCCATCATAGGACAGTTGCTTAGTTAAAACTCCATTTTTCTGTATGGCTGGAGCAGGAACCATTTTGCATTAGATGTTATATGTTAGTACTCTCCATCAAGTTCATGAGTTCATTGAACAGTGCAGCTTGTAAATAGTTTTCCCATAAAAGTGGCTGAAACTGACAATGTTCTCTGATTACATATGAATCAGATTGGCTTTCACAAAAAGTACATTTGGAAGGTTTGTTTTTTCTGTGTAACACGTAAAATAATGTTACACAGAAAAGTGAGTGCAGTGGCTAAAACCATTTGAATGACAAATGTTTGTATATGTACTTATAAATTGCTGATACTGTCAAGCTAATTCAGGGTTTTCAAGCCTTACGTTAAGGCAGAAAACATGCAAAATGATGCACAGTTTTAAGTGCACGTGTGATATCTTTGTACAAACTGAGTTGTAGAAAAAGAGAAACACTTTTAGCAAACAGAGCTATACACTGAGAAGAGCAAGGCAAAAAGCACACAGTGAAAAGATTTTCTGAACTTGTTGAGTAAGCTTAGGAAGGATTAGTTTGAGCAGTTACCTTGAATGGGTTGTTTTTTCTTGGCAGTAGGTTCCCGTATGACCTGGCCTACACTGACACAAATCTGGTGCTATACATCGGCCACCATACATGCATTGGCTTCTGCAGACAGCTGGATAGTCAAAGAAACAAAGATCACAAACAATCAGCACTCGGTATGCTTTGATTGAAGTTTGAAATGTCTGGCGCTCACTGCTGTATGGGTCCAGCGTCCGTCTACTCACGTGTTTGGCAGTTGGACCCTGTATAGCCCGTCTTGCACATGCAGACATTGGGCTTGACGCATTCACCACCGTTGCGGCAACCTGACACGCAGATAGCTGAAACAAAACACATAAATAGTGTTCAGGAAAATCTGCCTCATAGTTACCCCGGCAACCCCCCCCCATCAGTAGGAGATTCAGAAATGTCAAAGACAAGCAGCTAAGAGCTTGAAACCAACACATATATAGATGATGGCCATTAAGCAGTGAATTGAGGTCTGCAACATTGCACTGTGTTTTATCGGGAGAGGAACGTTAGATTTTTCCAAAAAAATATGCAAATGATTAAGGTTGCTCAAATGACGGCAGAAGTTGCTGCTCATGGAAGTTTATTTCAGTGGCATTTGAAATTTTCAAAGAAAATTGTCCAAAGTTGAGACAACATTTACAGGCAAACTGAAGTCATGCCAACATGTTACACAATGTACTTAGGTCAAAGTTGTCATGTTTATTAAGCAATGCTAGGTTAAAAATGCAGGTAAAGGCACACTTTGAAAGCTTAGGCCAACGGTTGCAAATGAAACATGGGCTGTCACCTTTATGGCACTTTCTCCCTCTGTAACCTGAGGGACAGGAACATTTATTTGGCTTGACGCAGCGTCCACCGTTTAGACATCGGGGTTCACAGGTCGCTGGAAGAGGAAGGAAAAAGAAAACTGCTAGTGCTGAGTTGGGGAATGTTGAAGTCAACATAAAGCACTCTTCTGTTTTGAAAACAAAACATAAAAAGAAGCAACGCTTTCCTTAGAAAATCTCCTGGATGTGAGATACGTGCCAAGCATTTTTATGGTTTTTACTTTCATTTCACAAAACTCTATTTATAAGAAGATGAAGTTGCAAAAAAGGTGTTATTCATCCAAGTTTAAGTTTTCCTCCAAGCAATAAATCTGATTTCTAAGATATAAATCTGTCGCTTTTAATTGGAGGAATTTCCCACTTCTTTATCTCACTCACACCATTCCCCTGTGCTGTGAGCATAACCCCCTTATCTAGCCTGCCAAGTTCGATTTCATCCAGGTCTGTGCATGTAAGCCAGGACTGATTATATCCCTCTCCTGGGCACGTCTTCTGGTGCACCAGGGGCCTGGCTTTTGTCACAGGCTCCCCCAGCCTAAAAGCCCGGACGTGCCTATGGAAAGATTTTGGGGGCAGACTTTGCACTCATTTGGTTCCAATTTCCAGCATAATACTTTCCCTGTCTCTCCTATCTCAAGGCTTACCAATAGCACAGTTGGTTCCTGTGTAGCCTACAGGACACGCACACATGTTGGGCCGTACACAAGTGCCCCCGTTTCGGCAAGAGGGATTGCAGATAGCTTTGGAAACAAATTTGTAAAGTTACATATCACAAGCCAGATAAAGTCAATTACCAAAAATACAGAAGCAAAATTCCTGTGCTGGCTTTTTGCAAAGCTACCCCTGACATTTTTAAGTCATATCCCAAACATCTTCAACACCTGACCTTGATAATTCTGCCAAAATATTTGCGTTTCAGCTAGGAAATGAAAGTCTTGATCTCAAAACCTTCAGCTGCCAGTTAAGAGTTATGGGTGAAGTTGTGGAACTTTACAGGAAAATTTCAAATGCTAGACTCGTCACATTTGACAAAACGACAGCTAAATGGATTGAATTGTTTTCCTCACAAACTACCTAACTCTCAAAGTGACAATAGGAATGAAATCAAAATGCAATAGCTAGCAAAGCAACAAGAACAAAGTGAGTAACCTGGTTGAAGATTTAATAAGTACCTTTTTGACAAGTATTTCCTAAACCTTGCAAAATTGTTTCTGAAATTCAACCTAAGCCCGTTGCTCAATATCAGGTCAAGAGTTATGACAGTTGCAGCCATGCAACTGGGAAATTTAAGGAAATAAAGAACTTCTCCAGACTGTGTAGAATGCTTCTCAATACCTAATAGAAAACATGAGAAGTTGCCTGATCAACTTGTTGGAATTTGAGCATCCAGGTATTTTTGTTCCCTCCACCTCACCTGTTTGGCACTGTGCACCTTGGAACCCTCGTAGACATACACAGTTGTCTGGACGAGCACATCTTCCTCCATTCCTACAGGAAGGCTTACACACAGCTGTACAGAGACCATCAGCCCACATAAAGTGTTATTATCATTATCAGGAAGAAACATCAAACAGTCACTAGATGCTTGCTTTCTGCCTGTTTTCTATGATTTCGATTACATGTTACAATAACATTCTTAATTTTTAACTCCATATTCTTCATGCTTGATTTGACTTGAGGGACATGATTGCAAAAATAAAATGATGAACAGTAAGATAAATATAGCTAAATTGAGTCACTCTCCAATTTCACCATGTAAAATAAAAATTACACGGGCAAAATTTTTTTAATCTATCAGTTTTAACTTTCAAGCTACATGGTTTAAAACATTTGTTCCACGATCTTCTCACAAGATACATCATATTAACTTGAAACATGACATGAAATGTCAAATGAAATATCATGATATCTTTGAACCCTGTATATTTCTGCCACTATAATAAAGCATGTCATACCAAGTTTACACGTTGGTCCTGAGTATCCTAGTGGACATTTACAGGTATTTGGCGTGATGCAATATCCCCCGTTGGCACAGTTCACAGTGCATGTCACTGAAAATTGATACATGAAACTTGCTCAAGAACTATTCGTCTTTTTGTTACAAGAGAATGAATGGAGTGAGGAAAAATTATAACATTTTTGGCCAACAATTCCTTTGTGAGGGGTGGTGAGTGGAAGATCTAAAGTCTTTGTTTCTTGGGCTACCTCACAGTCGAGGTAGTATACGGTTGATACTGTGTCAATCTCTAATGTGCTGTGGCAAATAAACACAAAGAGTGGTGCTGGGCAAAGTGGAAGTGGTGCAAACTGAACATGGTCTCAAGGTGAGTTCGCGTCAAACTGTGCAGCGGTTCTGCATGGTTCTGAAAATGGCTGAAGTGATGCATTCTCAATTTTGCAGCATCAACGGCAGGCAACATTCTGCCAATGCCAGGGGGGTGAGTGGATGCATACGGAACAAGCTTGAAACAGCTAGCAAAAAGCCAACATTGAAAAGTTTCCAAAATGTGCATAATAAAATTAAGACCAAAAATCTGAACAGAAAAGCTGAAATCAGCTGAAGCGCTGAATTCTCACATCCTGTAATGCTCTGCTAAAAAGAAACAGAGTGAGGGTATCCAGAGAAAGTGGCACTGCAGTAACTTGTTCTGTACATTTTGCTGGAGGGTGCAATGAGTCTCCTTAATAGGAGTGAGTCTTAGGCTTTGTCCGAAACAGGCTTCCAGAGCTACGGCTAGGTCTATTGTCTGCGCGTCTCCACACATTTCCATTGGAGCGAAGACCTAGACCTAGCTCTAGACAAGAGATTCGGATGCAGCCTTAGTACAAAGTGTCATCAAGAGGTTTTCTTGGAGGGGCCAATTTGAAGCATGTTACGGGAAGACAGTTGACATCTTTATATTACACAGGATTTTGCTTGTACATGGACTTAGGGGTTTTGCACTTTTTTGGATGTGCACTGATTTAAGCTGTAGCAATCTAATGTGAATATGGGCGATGAGTACATTTTCACAAGGCTACAAAAACACACTCAATTTTGTGAGTGATGTTACACGTACACAGAGAGAAATGGATAGTTAATATAACTGAAGGATGGTATGTGCAAAATGTCGACTGTGAAATTGAAAGATGGTGGTCACTTTAGGCCAACTCTTGGCACACAGTATTTCAACTCTCTTTTATAAGTAACCGCCACCATGACAAGCCTGCACTATAAATCAAATGGAATTGGTTAGAAAAGATAGTTTTCAAAATGCACTACATTCTGAAATAAAATTGATTAACAATGATGGGTGCGTTTCCCATTTATATAACCAATTATAACATCTGGAAGCATTCTCTTGTCATCCTCGCCACTGATTCAATCCTTTTGGTATAAAGGGTTCTTAAGGTACGCTTTGCATCCAGTGTTAGTGTAAAGCATGATGGAGGCATGCTGATGAGAGATGGCTACTGAAACTTATGAAACTGAGGGAAGCATATATGTGGTTAGTCGAAGTTGAAGGATGAAGCTGGCTGAAAGATCGCAGCTGATAACAAGAGAAAAAAAGGCTCAGAAAGTGAGATTAGTAATCTGCTTATTAAATGTTTACATATATGTTACACTTGACCATGCATGGATCAGTTGAACTACAATGGGTTAGGCAGCATGGAACTGAGCTCGAGCGCTGAATAATCATTCGCCAGAAAAAAACAAAAGCCTGTCCGACCAAACTTACAAATCTGGCAGCGTGGCCCAAAGTAGCCATACTTGCATGTGCACACATTGGGCAGGACGCAACGGCCTCCATTTTGGCACTCGGGTTCGCACTGTGCTGCAAGACAGGGGATCGTAATTATCAGGTTCACGTGTTGATTAGGTCAACAATGACGGGGGGGTCAAAATTTGGGGGGAGAGTGAGTGGGTGGACAGTTGCCCTTCTCCTCTCCCCAAAAACCCACAAAGCACCACTGCAATGATTAATACCAGATTTGCTGAACCTAGAGGACAGTACTGTAGTTGAGACCCCATTATGACATTGCAAGACCAACTCAATACCTCAAGTATGACTTCAAGTGAACTGTACCAAAAAAAAACTTGAAACCATTCCTTTGTCACTGTTCAACCGGTACTTATGCTTGGTACCAGTAGCTATGGTAGGTCTTGGGGTGGTCTTTATAACACTACATGTACTAAAGTAAAATCAATATCTGTGACTCTTCCACACCCAAATCATGGTTCTCTTTGACAAAGTTCATAAAAATGCAGATAAAAAGAATTTCAAACTTGTTCTGCAAAGGGTGCTGAACAGAAACACAGAAACGAGCAAGACGATTAAACATGTCAGTACAGGCCAAATGTGCCAGATTTTATCAGGTTCATGTGTTGTCAGCAATGACAAGGGGAGGGTGGCATCAAAATTCAGTGGGGGAAGTAAGAATGGACAGTTGGACCCCTGAACAGAAATGCTCCACTATAAATTAAACAAAAGAAGAAAAATTTATGGTCTTCTCAGTCTTTGTATTTTGGGGGTAACTTTTCCAGACCTAGAAATTAGACATAGATGTCCTGGGATATTTTCAGGTTTTTCCAGGCCACAGGAACCCTGCAAACTGTTGCATCCAACATGGGATATTACTCTTTATCACAGTGCACACTTTGGTCAAAGCAAGCACAGTTGTTGTATAAGACAAATCATTAATAACTAGAGAATTGACCCCAACAGTGGTAAATTAGACCAAGCCAATGTTACCATGGCAACCGGGTTAATGCTTGCCATCCACCATTTTAAAAACAGCCTGGTATTATGAATGAAGCTGTAGCGTTTAGCATTGAGTTAGAGCGGCACAAATACAAAGTACTGCTATGCCACGGCCACAGCACCAGCAAATTTGTTTACAGCAAAGAATGAAAATCAGCAAGAATGACCATCAAACTAAAGTTATACTGAGCTACATGTACCAGAATTAAGCAGAACACATACAACGGCAGCAGGTAAACTTTACTTGAAAGTGAAATTAACCCAGATCTAGATTGAGGGCAGATTTCAGAGTGTAAGACATATTCCCTAAGGTAATAGCATCATCCTCACGCATTAAACCGACTAGTCTTTTTAAAGGTCAATTTGGAGAAAAAAACAAGCTGTTTTGCGAAATGTTATGGAAATGAAGTCTTCTGGCCTAGGGATCTGCTCCAAATCTGTGTGACCTTGGTGACATGCTGAGATGATACCTGAACACGTAAGTAATCATGCTAACTTGTTTCGGTATGTCTCAAGAAAAATGTTAAAAGATGGTTCTTTATCATTCCAGGTGTCCTTCCTTCAAAAATGTCCACAGTTTAGGAACATTGAACAAAGTGATGCATCTCATAGCAGGATGAACTACGTACAGTGTTTCTGTCAACAACAATGGGTGATTTCATGCTCATGCAAATGACAGCAAGTGTGAGGACAAGAATGCAACGAGCCATGGTTTTCACAAAGTCACTTCAATTGATGCTATCCGTATTTTACTTCCCACTGCATTTGCCATCAGGATGCTAAAAACAGCTCTGAGCTCAAGAATGCTCACTGCTTCTTGCTTAAATTGAAACTGATACAATGAATTTATCTGGCATCTAG